GGTGGGGGTGGGGGGAGGGGGAGCAAGTCGGCGGCTGCTGCTGGTGGGCCGCATTAATGGAGGCGTCCAGATTGCATGAGACGCCCTTTAGCAGGTCCGCTAGATCACCGCTCGCCTGAAAACACACACACAGGGAGAGGGAGGGAGAGAGCTTCATGCGAGTCTCTTTCTGTGTGGCGTAAGGTGTTATCTGCCGCCCTACCTTTCTTTCTGATTCCGCACACGACATGAGCCTGGATCTGCTGAAGACCTTGCTGTTCTTCCGCGAGCGGCAGCGCCCCAGCCGATCGCACTGCGTGTCATGCAGCTGAGCAAACAACTCACCCCGCTCGCAGAATTCCGTGCTGATATACCTGTCAGCGCACCACACCCAAACAGCACACAACACACATGACACCATTGCACTACACATGCATGTGAATGTCCGTGTCTGTCGCTGACTGACTTGACTGACCTGGATGTCCCCTGTGTGTCGGTGCCCACATCGAAGCACTGCACGATGCGATCCCGCCCTCCGCCGTCCCCGCATGGCCCACCCAACGATGACGCCGAGAGGTGGAGGTGGATGTCGGCCTCCAGGCTCTTGCCGGCGACCGCCACCTCCTTGACAACGCGGACGGTGTTGGTCGGCGTGTGCACCGTCAGCCAGCACGTGGGCGTCAGGTGGTGGATCACTGTGTGATGCTCCCAGGGGAATAATGAGTGGGTGGTGTCCGCCATCGATATATGGGTCTCACTCACGCACGACGTAGATCACTGGTGGATTCGCCTTCATATCGCGTGTGTGTGTGTGTGTCGTGATCTCAGGAAATCCTATCTGTCGTTCGCCGATTCGTTCTCTAGCTCGCAAGATGTGAACGCAGCCTAGGGTGCTCCCTGAAACCGCCGCGAAGAGGGACTGCGAGCTCGAGAGAGAGATCTTCGTCCCGTCTAGATCTGCCCACCAGGAAGCACAGAAAGCAGGATGGCCGAGGACTTCGACGTTGATACGTTCTTTGATTCGTATCTGGGTCGAGAGGATGTGCAGCGCGCCCTGAAGGTCGAGCAGGCGCTGGCGCACCACGAGGACACGGAGCAGCGGCAGCAGCGGCAGCTGGACGAGAAGGCCGTGCTGCGCGAGAGCCTCCGGGAGTGCGAGGGGGACGTCCGCGAGATCTTCAGGGAGATCGCCAAGACGGGGTTTGTGCACAGCGTCCTCTACCACGCTATCCTCGACTGCAAGCAACACGGTGAGCGGACCTGATTGCAGCCGCGAGGAAAGAGAGAGTGTGTGGATTGACTGACTTGTGTGCACTGCACGATTGTGTGTGTTTGTAATGGTATGGTTGCAGGCATCCCGTTCTCAGGAAAGGTCGAGGACGATGATGACTTCCTCGCACTCTTCGCCAAGATCGCCGACCAACAGCAGACAAAACCCGAAAACGGTGCGTGAACATTCACCCACCACACCAACGATATATTCTCCCCCACCGTCCCCCATTCTCTCTCCTTCTGTGTGATTGGGTGTCTGATAATTCGATTCGATGCACCCACCGCACCCTCAGTGTCCTTTCTGGACACGTTGTGGACGGACGAGGTGCTGCAGCCCCGTCGGCAGTACGAGGAGGAGCAGACCAAACACATGGACCACCCGCCGCCACGCGAGGAGTGGGTCCCCGGCCTCTCCAAGGGCAAGCGCAAGCTCGACGCCGGCGAGATCAGGGGCCACCTGGAGCTGGCCGAGCGCATGAGGCAGGACGGCAACAAGGCCTTCAGGGAGGCCGACTATGAGATGGCCCTCACACGGTTCACACAGGTGGGTGGGTGGGTGTCTGGCTGGCTGCATGGGAGGAACAAGCCACACACCGAGGGAATGGTGTGTGTGTGTATGGTGGATGGTGTTGCGGACAGGGCGTCAACACGCTCAACTGGATCGAGGGACTGAACCCCGGCGACACGCAGCTGCTGAATGACCTGTTTCTGCTGCACCTCAAGAACCAGGCGCAGGCGGCCCTGATGTGCGACCACTGGAACGAGGCCATCGACGCGTCCAAGAAGGCGCAGCAGATCGACCCTGACGACATGAAGGCCAAGTACAGGAAGGCCTTCGCTCTGCACATGCTGGGGAGGGTCAAGGAGGCCGCGGAGGACTACAAGGAGATCATACACAGGTGCGAGAGACGACACACACACACACACACACGATTTGCCTTCACTCATTCATTCATTCATTCATTCATTCATGTGTGTGTCTGTCTGTTTGAGCTGTGTCAGCCCTTATGCCGACCGGACGTCCATCATCGCCTCTCGTAAGGGTTTGGTGGACATCATGGCCACATACGAGAAGAACAAACGTGACATGACCGAAATCATCGACCAGTCCGTCGACAAGGCACGCACCCACCACCCACCCGACACACCGCAACATCACCAAAGCAATTATACAGGGGCCTCTCCTCTTTGTCCTCTTCGTTTCATGCCTAACTGCAGAAGCTGTTCAGCGAGTCTCGTGAGGAGTCCGAGGCGCCCTCAGGTCCGCCCGAGGATTGGGAGAGCGAGTACATCAAGCGGCGCTTCCCGCGGCCTCAGTGGGCCGACAGTGACAGCGCCACACTGTCGACGGGGAGCTTCACTGATGCCGGAGAGACCATCCCTTCGCTGCCCAAAAAGGGCGGCAAAAAGGTGAGGCGGGCACACAGAGAGGGAGGGTGGGGCGCTCCGTCGATTCACGTGTGTGAGAGTGTGATTGTGCTGTTTGTGTAGGGTTTGCTGCAAGACGTGTCGCCGCCCAAGCTTGATCGTGAGCAGTGCCTCGAGATGCTGCAGGAACTCAGCGACATCTACCAGGTACCACCGTCCCCCCCCCCCCCCCCCCCCCCCCCCCCCCCCCCCC